ATTATTGTACGGGTATTGTTGATTGATTGAAAGATTTTGGTCTATATTTTTTTTTCTCAATGAAATCCAGTAATTATTACTTTATATTTTTATTGGGCCCTTAAGGATTCAATTTTTTTTATTACTTAATGCATTTACCGAGGTTATTACTTTAATCCATTGGCCCAAGTCGGGATCGAAAGAAATTATTATATAATCGAGGTTATTATTTTATCGAACATTACTTTATCGAGGTTTAACTGTAAGTGAGATTTAGTCCTTGTTTAATCTCTACTATTTTAAAAATATATTTTTTCTTCTTTTTCAACCACACATTTTTCAATGAAATAATATTACACACAAACCCAAAACTTTTCCTTATTTTTCAACCTCACATTATCTATCAATCTACTATTCCAAAATGCATTCTTAAAGGGAAAAAAATGGGGCTCAAACATGATCTCAACATCACTTCGAGGTTCCTTTGTATCTATATCAGAGCATATAAATTCATGTACAATATGGTAAGAAGATGATGAAACACTTATCAAATTCCTAACTAGCAGTTGTGGTTGGCTTGATATGTGTCGATGAATTACTAGGTAAGTCTCGGGACCAGCATTTGTGGTCGGCTTGAAAGTCTGAAAATGGGACACAAGTAGTTTTGTCCATTTACATCACATTAGACATTAATAAGATACCAACAAGGGAGTGATGCGAGCCATGTATTCTAGCCCACAAATAGACAATCAATCCAAGGCATAAAAGCAGGGTCCAACTCTTAGGACCAAAAATCTTCTCAATGGATCATCATGATCTACAGCACAATTTTTGCTTATAAGAATCTCAGAAGAGGCAATAGTAGACCATATTCTTGTATCTTCTTAAGTAGTTGATTTACGTGACTTATTGAGGACTAATATCAGAATTCTTAGATGCCAATGAGAAAATATAGAAAAACTAAGAAACTCATGGATAAAGGACGGTAATTGTGAACTTTCAAAGAAAATCAATGACTACATTTTTTAATTCGAGCATTCTTAATTTAACCTCACGATTATAAACAAATGATTATCCCAGTTAAGGCCACATTTGTCCCTCATTATTCCAAAACATTATTTGTTATAGTAAGATTCTCCACCACACGTTCACACAATAAAATATTTTACACACAAACCAATAAAGTTACATTAAATTTCAACCACATATTCTCCAAAAAATACTATTCGTTACTCCATCTCTTCCACAATAATAGGAGACAAACACACACTAAATATGAAAACAAAAATAATGTACCCCTGCTTCTTTCATTCATCAGAAACTTGCCCTTTGTTATCCATCCACTAAGAAGAGAACGACATAATCAGAAATCATCCATTACCAGAAGCACCTACATTTTCTGTACAGTTTTATGCAATACTGAATCTCTTGTACACAAGCTCACAGTACAAAACTCAATACACGGTAAATTTTCTAACAGGGGATGCGTTGTCCCAACAAGTTCCATACATTGATATCACCTTTTCACAGCTTTCCTTGGCACTCGTCTCCTTGTCTTAATTCAATTATCATATCTGCATAGACATAAGCTAAACTAGGACGGTGAATAATTAGCAAAATTGCATTAGAATTTTTTGGACAATTTCGAAATGGAATAAAAAATCCTACAAAACATAACATGACGAGGCGCATATAGTTTGGAGGCTGGCTCGAAATCTGCTGACAAAAAGTGAATGCCAAATTTCTGTCAGCGAAGGCAAACTATATTGAGTAGAATCAGCAAATAATTGTGGATTGATTCCTGCAAAATTTTGGAAAAATAATCAGTTCAAAGATATCCAATGTCATCATCTCAAAACTGTCACACGACTGGACACTTGGTTGAAGCATGAAGACAAAACACTAAAACTTATAGTAAATAAGCATCAATAACATTCATAAGTCCAGTTTAAAGGGAAACCCTCAAACATTGACCTCCAAAAGTGAGGTAAACCTCAATCAGCTTACATTTTTACCCTTTTTGTGCTTCCAGGTGTTGAATCATGCATGATAATAGATATTGCAATTTCCGAAAGATCAAGTCCACCAGATATCACGTAGGGAAGGCAAAATACCCCAATCCACCCTGACCTGAATGGAGCAGGGCCACAGAACATGGTCCCTTCCTTGAATCTTATTTTATGTTTTTTAAATGTAAATCACATTTAAACAATAAAAAACAACATTAAAAAAAGTTTATAGGATGGAAAATGGGGATACCATCCCATAACAGCTAAGGTACATGTTCTACCGCTAGGCTGATTGTCATATTAATTCTTCCCATATTCAAGGAAAAAAACAGGTGTTTTCTAAAAGTTGGCTTTTTATGAATCCCAATCAAACATTTTCGAACATTTCCATGTACCCCTATAAATAGAAACCACCGGGTAAATGCATTCCGGGACTGCAGACCCATGTCATGAAGAGTACAAAAAGTGTAATACATTGATGCAAGAACATGTACATTTCAGGCAAATGATAGCACGTGAGTTAGTTAACTTGTCCCCTTCAATTTCTGATCCACTGGCGGATCACTGTAGACGCACATATGACATCACAATAAGTCATCCTTCTAACCTTCCACTGGTCTAGAGTACTTAATACTAATTAAAAATATGCAGTTTACTACTTTGATGTCACTCCTCACATTTTGATCAGCCAATTTGCCAAAGATATAATTGATTATCCCTCCCTTTTTTCCATTTCATTGAATTGGTCTAAGCAAAATCCGATTCAATTTATCATAACTACCCCTTTCCAATATCACAACCAAAAAATGATCCTATTTCAAGAGGGAGTAGATCCTGTTCAAAAGGTTTGCCTCCAAAAATATAATATTAAAGACATTGAACAAAGGAACTCATGAGAAATTGTTTATCAAGAATATATTACTTACGAAGGATGCAACAAAAAAACAACTGAGCAAGTTGAATATGAACCATGCAGGGGCCTACCTAAAGATCCAAGCCCTCATTTGATATCTAACCACTTGGTTTCTCCTATCAATTTGAGAAACTTCATACAGAGGATGCTAATTTGCCAAACGTTTTTAGTTAATGTAATAAATTATACAACTAACTTCAGTCTCTCATCTCAATCTCAATATCATTTAATTCAAAAAGAAAATGTAATATTCGAGTCCCTAGTATCCAATATCACAATCTATGGCATCTAGTACGTAAATTTTGCTACATAATTCACAATATTGGAAGGGCAGCAATTTGAATGTGCAATACAAATATTAGATCTGCACTTATTTACTTCATACAATTCCATAATTTAAGAAATTCCAAAATGGGACAATACTATTTTACAAGTAATCAAGGATTCGTTGCATATTGTATAAATAAATGTAAACTGACGGCATAATATAATTCTTTTCTGAAGTAAAAAGAAAATATATAACTATAACAAGTATGAATCATAATCATTTGTAGTATAATCTATACAAAGACGTATAATTCAATTTTATCTTCTTTTTTTTTTTTTAATTAAAAAGTAATGTTCTAATTTCCTGGAATTCTTTCTGCAATTATTCTAAATCAAATAGAGAACTATTTACATAAGTTTCAAGTGCATCCTTACACCTGAGAAATTAATTCAATAGTTAATGAGAATGAAATACTATCAATTGAATAAATAATGTCAAATTAATTCAATAGTTTGACATTGGACCAGTTAATTAGGTCTCTCTCCAAAGCTCTATTATTTCATCACCTCAAAGTTGTTTTATCAAAAAAATGAGCACCAACTTTCTAGAAGGAAAAGGCACAAGCCCAGTGGAGAAATTTTCTTCTCCAATCTTGTTATAACAATTAAGCACAATGAATTGAGTGGAAAATAAGGGAAACAGATTTAGCCCCTGTTTGGTAACCATTCTTTCCAAATTCTTTTTTTCACACTCATTCTCTACCACACATTCTCACAATAAAATATTCTTCACGTAAACTCAATTTTCCAAACTCTTTAACCAAACATTCTCCAAAAAATTACTATTCAAAAAACTCGTTCTTTCCAAAAAAAAATTTCTGTCAAACAGGAGCTTAATATTTGAGTTTCAGACAATTATTGCAGCACTTCACTGAATATTTATCATGCACACAATATAAATTAAGTCCTTGTTTGTCTCCCTTTAAAACAATTTTTTTTAATTCTCATACTCATTTTTAGCCACACATTCACATAATAAAATATTTTGCACATAAACCCAAAACTTTTCCTACTGTTTAACCACACATTCTCCAAAAAATCACTATTCAAACATCATTCTTTCAAAATAATGGCCATCAAACAGGGGCTAAGTATCTATTGTTCTAGCATGCTATAGCCTGTTCTGGAAATCAAGATTCTTTAAAATATTATGGTCAAATGCTTTTATGATAAAAAGCAATTAGAAAACTTTTGGTAGACCTTGACTGGCATTCACATGACCATTAAACTTAGTTCATCACAAGAGGGTACATAAGCATAAGAAAATAGAGGGGTCTAGTAGGTTCCCACGGAAGTATCAGAAATAACTTGAAAGGGAACCACATGTCCAAGAAACCATGAGGGCATTCATAAAACCTTGGTTGATCAGCAATTATGGTAGAGAGATCAAGTGGCAGACATGATATTTCATTGAAGACGTACAAAACATATGCACTTGTTTTAGGCTTAAAAGGAAAGTAGATTCTGGTTCTTGTAGCAATTTAAGAGCAAATGGGAGTAATATTTCTGAATAATGTAGAAAATTGATCTCGTATTCAGTTGATACCTACAAGTAGATAGCATTAACAGTTGACAGAATACTAGTTAAACAAGCCAGAGGGTGCACATCAACCAAAATAAATTTACATTAAAAGGAACAAGTGATATGGAAATCTATAATTCAACACCAAGAGGTACTAGTTATTAAAATATGGAATTTACCTTAGCATATATCATGCAACATAAAGCTGCCAAGCACAACAATTGAAATCGTATCAACGCATCAAAAAAATCTAGTTGCATATTGAAAGCTTCCCTGTCCATTCATCAGCCATCCCATAATCAAGACTAAGCTCCCTCATCGGAGGGATATTCTCCATAGCGAACAGCATGAGGTGAGGGAAAGATATATTTTTGTGATCAAACAGCACAAGCTGCACCATAACATTTGGGCTGGAACTATGGCTCATGTAACAGGCCACATTCCTCATTCTTGATAAATCCATGGCAAAATCCAAAGGAGGGATTGATGGATACACAGGTCGAACATAGTCAGAGAATATCAGTGATAAATCACCCCATTCAGCCCATCTATCAGGAAATCGACTTGGGTACACCAAACTATCACCATTCATCGTGAAAATCTGGGCTTGATCGTGTGTTAGAACAATTCCTGTGAATTCGCAAATAAAAGAGCCTGCCTGGATCAAGTCCAGCGACCTTACTCCCCAACCAGTCTCCTGGGACCTAAATACTTCAAGCCGGTTCCTTAGGCCCTTTTGGCTAACACGATTCCTGCAAGTAGGAGGGCATTGACAATGGGGACCACACTCAAAAATTAAGGGTTTCCCCCGCACCAAAATACCATTCAGATCATATGCGAAATCGCCTCCATTTTTATTTGCACAAGAGCAAATATCTGAACACCCGCCAACGCAATCACAGCCAATCCCCTTTGCGCCATGATCATACACATGTAGAGGGAATCGTGAGCTGGTAAGATACTCATAGTAAAGCGGTTCATGATCCTCATCAATGTCATTAAAGAAAAAGACGGGCACATTTTCCTTTTTACTCGACAAATCAAGTGAAACATAACCTTTTGGCCAAGCATCCAACTTCAGAGTCCTAAGACTCTCCGCAAACTTCAACACAACACTTCCCATTTGTCCCTGATTTTCAAACCTAACAAGCTTGAACTTATAAACCCCAAAACCCGACTTCCCCACATCAAACCAAGTATCAGTTACCCGATACAAGCCATCATAAACATAGACTTTACCATGAGTACTTCCTTCATATTTAAGTCCGCGAACAACCCTCACCTCAATGCCATAATGCATGCTCCTCTCCAAGGCCAAGTTACCACATTCCAATTTCTGATGCACAACCTGCCTGCTATGTTTATCCTGCCCACCATGCCCAGTGTAAATTATCACGTCCCCAGCATCTTCATCATCTTCATAACCCCCTGACACAACGATGCTTGTGGCAACAGGTTCACCATTTGAGCTCTGACTCGCAGGGACATAATCAATCCCAGCCTGTGCCTGGCCGTGCAACCCAACCACACACAGTTCCATCCTGAAAAAGAAAACATCGCCAATGGAAACTCCGGGAATGGCACCCACAATCCTCTTGTCTCGATATAACCAAAGACCCTGTTTCTTCATAAGCTGTGCTACCTTCAAATCCACTCTTAACCGTCTCTGAGGGGTCAAAGAATCACGGCCTTTCTCAATCTGTGCAACCAAGAAGGCACGCAGTGAGTCAAATAGCAACCGGGTCCGACGAATTCTGCCCCGAAAACAAAGATGGTCCTCGGGTCTAAGATCCGTAACCCGGACGAGCTCCGACGAGCGCTGGTCATTTTTTCGGCCAACACGCGGCGATATAACAGCATTAGCAACCTGGGCTTCAGGATTGTTGTAAGGAACTATAGCGCCCGAATTTGAGTCTACGTCAGGAAGCATAGCTACCTCACCGTACTTCTGGAGTCGTTGGGCGAAGGTTGTGCGAAAAAGCTCCGAAATGCGGTTGAATTCCGACGAGACGTCAGGTTCGGACGGCGGAGTAACAGAGGGGATTTGGTGGGTTGTAGAGGGTAGAAATGGTGAGGGTTCATCAATGGGTTCGATTTTGGGGGTGATTTTTTGTGGGATGTCGGTAGAGGAAGAAGAATTGGGTTCAGTGTACAGGTTCAGGTCTAAACAGGGTACAATCGAATCCATTTTCAGCAACTTTCTTCGGGATTTTGTTAGGAAAGAAATCCGAGAAAAGTCGGTGCTTGTGTGCAGTTTTGCAGTTGAAGGCTTGCTGCAGAGAGATTTTCGAATTGGGAGAAATTGAAATGGAGAAACACAATTGGTGCGCTAGAATGGAAAGTTTACAGCTTTGCGCTTTCTTATTCTGAATGTTAATTAAGCCCTGTTTGACGACCCTTCTTTATTTTATTTTTAATTGTTTTTATTCTTATTTTGAATCACGCATTCTCAGTAAATTCAAAATTTTTCCTTATTTTTTAACTATACGTTCTTTCAAAATTTACTATTTAAAAACTCATTATTTCAAAAAAAAAAAAAATTGTCAAACGGGGGCTAAACATTAACCATTGCTTTCAAGTTTTGGGTATAAAGGAATTAGGTTAAAGTGTGTATTTTACAAAATAAGTGGATAAAAGTCAATGTTCTGAAAATCGGATCGGACATTGACTTGGATGAGGAAGAGGATCGAGGGATAAAATGTCGAACTGAGGTTACGCTGGAGTACACCTAAAAATTAAATTATAATAAATAAAATCTTACATAGATATATACTATTTAAAAATAACAAATTAATGTATAAAATATACTTTTAAAAAAAATTAATATTAAGTTTAAGAGTTTTTCAATTTTTAATATATGTTAATTATTTTTTAATAATTATTTCACTAATTAAAGACTAAATGGGCTAAAGAAAGTTAAATCGTAAGCGTAAACGCATATAAAATAAAAGCTCAATAATGTCATTAACCTAGAAAGTCATATAAGGGAGTGTTTGATACATATTATTAAGAAAAAAATACATTTTATAACTTAATGCTATGGAAAATATGTGGTTAAAACAAGTAAAGTTTTGAATTTGCGTATAATATTATTTTATTAAAGAATGTACGGTTGAAAATGAGTTTTGATATAATGAATTTTTTTAAGAATATAGATCAAACAGGGGCTAGGTCAGAAATTAGCAGTAGATGGGAAAGGCACACTGCTTCTTCTTTCTATTTGTCAACAGCTTTTTCTTCTTGATTTTTCATGTGGCTTATCTTTTCATTCTTTTGCATATATGTGCATATTAAATTATGGATGATCTTTCAAATAACCTGGGCAAGTCAGAAAAGCTCGTCTGCAGATCTTTATCCATGATTCTTTGTTCTTCTTCTTCTTTTTTTCTTGTGCAAGGTAGCCAAAATAACTCAGTAAAATCGCATCCGGTAGTTTTCGGTCCAACCGATCATTTTACCGAATTTTTACCGGTTGCTATATTACCGCATACCCGGCTATAACCGAACCGATCGTTGGACCAGCTCAAGATTTTTTTGGTCGAACCGGCCAGGTTGGTCCAATTTTCAAAACATTGATAAAAATAAAGTTTGATCAACTTATAAAAAGTTATGTGTGTAACTGCAGTTTATGTCCAAATATTCTATTAATTATTTTTAAAAGAATGACAATTAAAAAATCACATTTTTAAAAGCGCTAATTTTAACATTTCATTTAGTGGTGATTTTCGTCTTGATTAAGGATTCCGTTCAATTTAACAATAGCTCTATTGAAAGACGCCCTTAGCTTTATACATTTTCCATCTTTATATTGAAAATTTGATTTTTAATAGTGTTATACTTAACATTTCATTTATTAGTGATTCTCGTATTATTTAGGAATTTCGTTCAATTTAATAATATTAGCTTTATTGCAGGTCGGACATGACTTTTGTACATTTTTCACTTTTAGCTAAGTGATTTGTTTCTTCATAGCATTATTGGGAACGTTTCATTTATCAGACTATCCTATTAACTAAGGGAATTCATTCAATTTAATAATATTAGGTTTATTAAAGGACGTCCTTGATTTTTATTCTTTTGTACACTTATCTCAAACCTTTCATTCTTAATAGCGTTCTTCTTAACATTTTGTCTATTAGTGATTGTCTTCTTGATTAAGGTATTCCGTTCAATTTAATAATAGTAGCTTTGTACTTTTGTCTTAAATTTTTGTTTTTAAGTGGTTTTATCCTTAACATTTTATTTGTTAGTTATTGTCGTCTTAATTAAAGGATTTTGTTCACTTTAATAATATTAGTTCTATCGGAGGATGTTCCAACTTTGACACATTTTCCACCTTTATCTTGAACATATATATATCTTAACAACATTTCATTTATAGATTTTCGTCATAATTAAGGGATTCCGTTCAATATACGAGCATAAACTTTGTTGTGGAATGTCCCTAACTTTTATACCTTTCGAATTTTTATTTTGAATCTTCGTTAACGTTTGATTTATTATTGATTGTCCTCTTAATTACGGGTCATGTTCAATTTATTAATATTAGCTTTATTGCATGAGGTCCCTATCTGCACTTATTAGGAATCTTCATTTAATAATAATATTATCATTTTAATTAAAGGAATCCATTCAAATTTAAAAATATTAGGCCATGTTCTCTTTGTCGTTTTCCACCTATTTTCTGTTTTTAATTTCTCAAAATAACGAAAACGCGTTCTCTATCTTATTTTCGAAAACGTATTTTGAGAAATGAAAAAAAAAAAGTATAACGGAAAACAACAAAAATATTGTTTTGTAAAATGTTTGGGAAAACAAGCCAAAAGTTCAAAACAAGCGAAACGGGCCTCTGGGCCTCTCACTCTCACAAAACACGCTCAACTCTCTCCCTCTCTCACTGAACCCTCTCCTTGTAAATCGATCAACGGCAGCGAAATCCCCCTTCCAAATCGAAGGCTGCAACGACGGGAGGAAGGGTACTGCACGGGATCTTCGAATTTTGGGGAACTTTGTTTCGGGCAAGCCAAATCGCAGGCTGCAGCTACGAGAGGAAAGGTGTAATCAAGATTTCACATCTCCAAATCAATGTTTTGTTTCTTTGATTGTAATAATCTGTAGTTATTCGCGAGTATTCAATTTTTGAGTTGTTGGGTCCGATTTCAAAGATGTTTCTTTATTTGATTGGTGAGAAATTGAGGCAGGTTGGGGAACAGTTGGGGCGGTCGTTGGTGCTGGAGGTGGGGGCGGTCGCTGGAGGTGGAGGTGGAGGTGGAGCTCGCGCTGGAGGCTATTTGTAATATGTTTTGTCGTTATTTTTTGGTGGAGAAATTTTAATGTGGTTCCTGTTTAGCATTGGTATGAGAATTGTTGGCAAATAAATGAGCATAATTCTGATTTATTACTCTTTCACGAAGATTCTAAATTGAACTGATGAGCGAAATTGGCATTAGGTATTAGGATCTTGGTTTGGGATAGAAGATCACACTAGAAGAAAATGGAATTTCTGCTATGAAGTGTTTACTTAACTGTATTTGTATCTAGTGTTTAACTTAATTCATTTATCCAACTCAAAAGCTAGTTGAACTTACTAGTTGAAATGTCGAGAAGAGGTTGCCAATACTAGTTGAAATGTTGATTGGTAATGCT